TGATGTAGTTACAGCACATCAAGCCTCTATGATGACAACAAGAATCTCAGAAAGAATCCTATGAATCTATATGCAGAAATGTAGGAAGTAAAGGTAGAGAGATACTTCAAGAAAGTTAACAAGTAGGGAAAAGGAACCACAAGCACTCTTTACATGTAGCAGAAGGCCATTAGACCACTATACACAACTACCACCACTCCTTGCATGGCTTCATCTCATACATCATTTTTAACAGATTCGACAAGCTGTCACCCTAACCACAAAAAACTGATGCATGGATATCTGTTAATTAATAAAGAGAAATAATATGACAGGTAATTGAAAATGGTTCCTACTGTCAGACAACTGATCTGACAAAAATCAGCGTAAACTCAAGAAAATAAGCAGAATATCACCTGACAACAAAAGCTCCTAACACCAGACAAGTCACATGAAAAAAACAGAGTACAGCGTATCTGACCATCCGAAAGCAAAAAATACTTGGACATATTGCAGTTAACGCCAGGAAGTCAAATGGAATAAATATGTTGAAATCGAAATTCTAACATCAGGGTTAACTTAATCAAAGAAAAACGAACTCATTGTCAGATTATCCAAAATGTCTATAGAAATGCTTAAAATCACTTCCTTTCTTGTTGTAGAAAAAGAGTCATTTGATCCCCTATGCTGGTGGCCTACTTATTAAAGCTTTGAATAGAAGACTGATTTGTATTCCAAAATTCACCTTAATTAATAAGGGAAAAACATAGTAAAATTTTGTTTTATGAGGGTTAAGGAACATACCGCCAAGATGATGTTAGATTCCGAGCTTTTCTATCCAACTGAAGGTTTTCAAGAGCTGCTGAAGCTCGAATCACCTCCTCGGGAATATCATCATTGTCATATCTCCAATTGTATTCATCTTTTCGGTAACCAGACATGGAAGAACCTGCTCTCCGATCTAGATGGCAGAAAGTATTATATCTAATAAATCATACAAGTCTACCATGTAGCAAATTATAAATAAATCACAAATATACAAGCATATCATAGATAGACTAGTTGCTCACCAGATGCCTGGGAAGCAGGAACCGGCCTAACATGAAAAACAGAAAGTAAAAAGTTTCAATTAAAGTTACCAGAAAAAGAGAAAAAGAACATAAAGAAAGAAAGAAAATAGAAAAGAAAGAAAGAAAATAGAAGAGGATCAGAGAGAAGAGAGATGAAATTAGTAAAAAATTTCAACTAAAATTGATAAATAAATAAAAAAGAAGAAAATGAACAGAAAGAAAGAAAGAAAATGGAGGATCAGAGAGAAGAGAGATGAAATAGTGATGCCGGTCCACACCTTCCCGGTGGAGGAAATCCCCCAGCTATTGATGACGACGAAGGCCTACGTGTATTTCGTGACTCTAAACCAGATATGGACTCAGTTTCTGATACTCTCCTTCCAGTACCCCGAGTTTGGGATAAATTCTGCATTAGATAAGGATGGAAATTATTTAACTCTTATAAAAACAATAACCATTAGTGACAATAACAGTATTTCATGATGCAAAGAACTTAATCATCCCTGCTTTAGGAATCACCAGAAAATGAAGCAAAACCTATTATCAAGAATCAGTTTAACTTCAATATAAAATGCACAATCCGTTGAAACACTGCGGCAAAGCAACTCATTTAGATGAAGTTCACCATTCCAACCATCTGAACCAGGTAAACTTATTGCCATTCAGCCATATTACAGGTCAAAATTCACAACCTTTCTCAAATAAGAAACCACCTATTCTTCAGCAATCTACAGCCAAACTACTTAAGTGGTACTGCCCACAGGAATCTTCAACCTAAATCAAATGATTCATCTCTACAACATACAGACTTTATCCTACATGGCAATCAATCCTTGATAATCCTCCTCACAACATCCACCTGCACTAGAGCCACCTCCAACTTCTTGGAGCAGAAATTTATCAGTAATCACAAGGACAAACTTATAGCTGACATCCAAAACATACTCTACATTTGGTTGTCAAAAGTTCATGACAAAGCAATGGCTAATTAAGTACTGAAGCTAGAAAATGGAGATCAACCATTTTCTATGAGCTGGAACATATTGGTATGAGAAATTAGTTACAAAACTCAACTGCAAATATTGAACTCCATTACATTTAATCAATAGTTATATTTTGATCTTTAATCGGTTTCTTTATATTTCCATTCAGATCATCCTCATTTATCTTTCTACCACAAGAGACATTGAACATATCAGGCAGTCATTTTTGCTCATGCCTGCACAGATCCCTTGAAACTGAAAACACAATATAAACATCAAAATGCCAGGATCCCCATCTTCTCCACCTTAGCATGCTCATCCCATAGCAAAAGATCAACAAAAGTTCACGTATTTGGAAGCATCTTACTGCTATATCAGTTGTTCCTTTTGCTTGCAGCTGTCATCGGTCTCATCCCGATGTAGGCACCAAATTAGCAGTTAAAAACAAATATGATCCTGTATGTATCAAACTTAGCTGCAAATATTGAACTCCACTATAATTCATTCATAGTTATATGTGAGACCTTCAGTTACATACTGACCTTCAATTTCTCACTATATTTCCATTCCTTGATTATCTTTGCTCCAGAAGAGACACTGAACATTTCAAGCATTTGTTTTCACATATGCCAAACAGATCCCCTGACCATAATATAAACACCAAGTGCTAGAATCCTTGTTTTCTCCCCCTTATCATGTTTATCTCAAAAAGAGATTGCAAATGCATCACCAAAATATGCTCATTTTTGTTAAAGATTCCTTCCAAATAAAGCATCTTCCTGCTATATTTTCTAGTCTGTTCCTTCTGACGACAGTGCTCGTCAAACTTCCCGTGCTGTCTAAACCAGATGCATTCATTCATTTTACATGCTTAAGCCTTCAAGCATAGATGCAGACTAATTGGTAACTCTATCTCACATCTGAAGAAATATCTTGCAAAATCTTCGGAGAACAGCTGCTTATGTACCCACTCTGGAAAACCCAGTAGCAATTACCAGAGATATCAGTGTTTACCTTCTTTTCAAGATGATAGCTTATACATCAAACAGACCAAACAAGGACTTCATACATCATCAGCCAACACCAGCGCGATACATAGTAACAAGGCTATAAACAAAATCAGGAAATAATCTTAATTTCCACCATCCATCTCACTACTCCAGATATGACACTTTGAGAAAAAATAAAAACCCGTAGGTAACATAAAATGTTTTCAGATAAGATTCCCCAGAAGGCCATAAATCAGAACAGGACAAGATTACCATAAAAGATTTTACCATCATTTATAATGAACATTGTACTTGGAATAATCAGTTACTTTAACCCTTTGGCAATATTGATGGAATAGAATAGATGGGCCCCAAGCCAAATAACCAAAATGACATCATACTTCAAAACATCATGTTAGCATCCAAAACTAGCCTGAAAAGGTTTATACACAAAAGAACGAGATCTAAGAGCAAACCTCAAACTTCAAGAACCCTTCAAGAACATCCAAAAGCAGGGGTCCACTGTCTCCATTTCTATTAAGATCATATCCATTCTTGCTACTGAATTCTTTTAGTTCAGCCTTCCAAGAATCTTTTTGCTGGAATTTAAAGTAAGATATTAGCCAACATAGAGGTTTAACGAACACTTCTATAAATCAGGAAAGGAATACATTAAAAAATTACTTGATTACCAAATTACACTCTGGCAGATAAACTTTTAGGGTGTGATTTAGTTGTGCCCAGTCTAAATATTCACATATTAGCGCAGTTAGCAGCCTCCCTGCATTTTGAAGATCAAATATGCAATTACGGGAGAAAAAATATTTCTAAAAAGGAAAAAGCAATGCAGATTATTAAATGCTTTCATAACATGGATCACCTTATGCAGGAGCAAAACACCAGTGATACAACAGGAGGAAAAAAAACATATTTAGAGAAAGATAGTATTATAGACAGATCAGAGATGTCAGCACGTAAAGACAAACCAGAATTAGAAGAG